CTCGCGCAAATTATCAAGGTAAAGAAGTAACCATTTAGCCCAAAGCTCCTATTTTTGCTGAACACAGACATTAAGGAAATCTAAGTCCTTCTAATTTCTGGCGCAATCCATAACACACCCACGTGCCATACTTTACATCAACACCTGCTCGTTAATGCTAAAGTTAAGCCGCTCTCAGGAAGTGGTGGAACAGATTTTTAATGTTTTAATTCACACCTCTGACGACTAATCCAGGAAATAACTGAATATAGATGTGCTGCTGAGAGTTTGACTAGCGAGAGGGGAACGCATACTCTCCAAGCACAGGTTGTGGGGGAATGATCGTAAGCTTTTTAAATATGGCCCTTTTTTGTCGGTACCCCCACCAACCGGTGGCCGGCGACCTTCTCTGCCCAATGGATACTGCCTGGCCAATTTGATACTGTCTTTTTGCCACCGAAAGGGATCTGCTTGGAGATTAGGGAACGTAGGCACGGAAAACTCAACATTCGCTATACGTAACGAGACTTACGCTACTTAACATTTCACTTCAGTCAGCATTCACGCGACTTAAAAGCTCTGGCTGTGTGCCCTAATTTGGTCTCCAAGTATGTAAAATGTAATCCCGCCATAGTTAAGCACAAAAACTTAAGTGAGAATGTTACGGTTACGTGCCATGATTTAGATACTGGTAAAATTCAACTGTAAACTATCTTAGTCACACAAAACTACATAACTGAAACGAACTACTTTTAGCTATATGTGTCCTGTTTTACTTTCTTTTCTTCTGGGATGGGAGTTTCGACTCACGCTTCAACACTGTGAACTACGTCTTATGAATCCACAATTTTTTCAAACGTCTTGTAAAATACCTTTGATTTTATTCTAAAAGTGGCTGCGAGAACATAAGTTGTGCCTAACTTGAGTTCTCAGTCGTCACTTTGTCTGAGTCCTTTCATTTGTATTCATTACTGTTTTTCTGAATAATGATAATAATAAAAAGAATACTGGCAGGTACTCCGCCATCTGCAGCGAATGTATATGATGATGAAATACTACTGTTCTCCATAGCGTATAATATCTGAGTACAGGCCAAAAGAAAGTCATGGCCATGAATAAAAGGCCCAAAGAGTCGAAGGAAAATTGGACCCAAAGGAAGGTGCGCTTTCTAAAGGTATGTACATTTAGTAGCCCTGGGGAAGTATTCAAATACTTTATATTCACCCTTTCTTTCCACTTGCTCAAAAGACTGTGATACACTTCATTCTGTGGATAAATTCAAATATACACCTTGTAAGTAGACGACCCTTGCAGTGAGAAAATAGATAAATCAAAGAATGTTTAGAAGTTAGAGACTGCAGCACGGAAGTTATTCAATGTCATAACGGTATACCTTTGTTATTTCTATAGTTAACACATCGTATCTACATTTGCGAAGTTGGAGAAGACCTTAAACAACCCTTTTACGTTACGTTCTATTCCACCTCGGGTCTTGAATAGGGACATTCTAACTCTATATACTATGATAAGCAAGACATTCCCCAGAAGACAGATTCCATGGTATACAGTTTGCCACCAGGATAGCAACCTCCTTTTTACTTGTGATTTCACGAGGCATAAATTTCAGCCCTCCTGTAGATCAGCCTCCCAAACAGTCAGTATTCAAATGGCTTTGCGGCTCCATCTACCTCTTTTAACGACCTCATGTCTGTAACTTTTGGTCCCATATTCACAACATAAAAAATGTTGGGTATAATCCAAGATACCGTTTAGTACAAAGCTGAGTTTTCTTTTCTCCAACTGTTGACGCATTGCCACCGCAAACTTGTTATGTTGATCGACACCCTCCCAAATCAATTTGGTTGGGGTTTCGTGACATTTGGGACGTATTTTCACCACAACAATTTAGTTCGCCTTCACCACAACAATTTAGTTCGCCTTCTACAAACCTAAGAGGTTTTTGTTGCTACAACTGTTGACGCATTGCCACCGCAAACTTGTTATGTTGATCGAGAGCCTCCCAAATCAATTTGGCTGGGGTTTCGTGACAACGGTTGGGACGTATTCTCACCACAACAATTTAGTTCGCCTTCACCACAACAATTTAGTTCGCCTTCTACAAACCTAAGAGGTTTTTGTTGCTCCAACTGTTGACGCATTGCCACCGCAAACTTCTTACGTTGATCGAGAGCCTCCCAAATCAATTTGGCTGGGGTTTCGTGACAACGGTTGGGACGTATTCTCACCACAACAATTTAGTTCGCCTTCACCACAACAATTTAGTTCGCCTTCTATCCTGCACTGTCAGGGTTTCACGTGCGTTGCAAGGTGCTTTCACCTAATCGAATCTGGCCGTTTTGGGCCACTCGGCTCATTGTTGAGGGTTCTAACTTCACTTCGGCGGTTCTCTATAAACTGCCGGGTGGCCGTAATGAGTTTCACCAGATGAAGAGAAAGATGCCGGCCTCCGACAGCTCCTGGAGGCGCGCCTCTTTGTAATTTCCCAGTGGCGCTTAAAGGCAAATTGTCGGCTGAGGCTTTCTAAAAGCATCAAAGGGCGTTCCTGGGTTTGGATAATGCTCTTTGAGGGACATTATCGTCAAATAGACTTATTAGTAGAAGACTTAGCAGTTGTAAAACAGGTCAGACGAACCCAGGCTGCGTTTTTATGCATAAGGAGTAATGAGGTCAGACTAGACTGTTTTATCTATCATGGAAAATGGCAAGAGTTCAAGCTGAAGTCCATCAATGCCTTAGAAATAATTAGAGAATATTTGAATAATGTTCAGACTGAGGAGTGCTAAAGGGAATTCGTTATCTGATGGCAGTCAACAGACCACTACCTACTTGACTCCTCGCCATTGGTATAGTCATTGGGTGAATACGTAGTGCCGGCTACAGCTAAAGCACAGTTGTGGCATCATCACTAGAAAGCTTTAAACATCTCCTGCAATCAAATATGCAAAGGTTAAGTGTAACAGGTCGATCGGTGTGATATAGCTAGCTGCCGCCGCGCCGCGTGCCTGCGAAGCTGGTGTGTTACGCCGAAGGGCGGTTATACCGGCTATACCGATACAGATATAGAGGCTATCGTTCATTTTGTTTCTACAGATATATGATATGATAAAAGACCGAACTTCAATGATTTCGTGATCTACCACTTGTTTCAGTCATTAACATTTTTATGTACAAAAACGTAACATTGTAGTACACAAGAAGTTAGAACTGGGTCACCTGTTTATAGCTCTAACTATCGCGGGTTTATGTTCAAACGTGATTGGTTATTACTTATACCGATGAAGGCGACAGAAGTCGTCGAAAATTTTACTTTTCTGTACACTTTGTGTTAAAAAAAAGTTTAGCATCGTATAATGATTACTACCAATACGCATGATACTGCCAAACTTCTATGGTAAGGAAGTATAGGACTGCCAGGCACCAGAGCAAGGATGATAAAGCAGAGCTTTAAATTATAAAGGTCTCTACTGTCTGTTTCACATGGAATTCACTCTATCATACTCTACAGCTATTTCAGGGATCTGACATAGTGGTATTCATAACCGTTCATTCTTGCAGGCATGGGACGATGATTTTCTTCTAAAAAAAGAAGATACCGGCTTTGTATACGGATCTAACTAGATGAATTAGTTCTAGATATGTTTTATTCCACCAGTGAATGTATGAATGTTCTCAAAGATTTGAAACCACGCCAGTGGAGACCCAGCCAACAGGGACCCAGTCAGAGCAAAGAGTGATACAAAAGAGGGGGAGGGGTCGTGTTTAGGGCACCACGGCCTCAACATATCATGAAATTTCAGCAACACTTTTTCCACCAGGGACGCGGAAAATCGAAATCTTGAAGAGTGCTGCAGAAGATTTAGAACTCGCGAAGCCGATAGCCCCACCTGAACCGCTGAACATGGCCTCGGGAACGTTCGATTGAGAATAAATTTACATGAAACGAACAGGAAATAGAAGAGGGAGGTAAATACTGAAGGTGGAGGAAGGAAGGTAGTTACCATAGTGAAGAGGGCGCACAGGGAACCATTATAGTGAGCTTGATTCATAATAGTGACCTTCAAATATTGCTGTGACCTTCAGGAGTATCGTAGAAGGCTTCAGTCCGTCTCGGGAGACGGTGGAAAGAAATCCTCAGAATCGCGAGCTGGCGCGGGGAATGTAGACATGCGGTGAGTCGGGGGAGCCTGTTGCCGGTATATTTTTTAACTTTTTTTTTAACGGAGTGGTTCAATGCAAGGCCTATACGACCATTTCTCGGCATTGAACTAGAAATATGAGAGAAATGGCTATGTCAAGAGATGGCGGTGAACGTTTGATTTGAAAGCCTGTAGGTTGTAGGTTGGTGAGAAACACTTGTCATGGAGGGAATTCCAAAGTTTGGCCGTACGGGGAAAGAAACTGTCACTGTAAAAAGATTTAGAACAAGGAATTTGGACGGTGAATGTAGCCATGCGGTGAGCCAGGGGAGCCCGTTGACGGTATATTTTTAAACTAACATGGGAGGAACGCACCAGCTGGTTCAGGGCATGCAGGACAATCGATTCGTTTCCCAAACAATCTATCAATCCAACTTGACATGTTGTGTAAGCGAGAAGTCAAAAAACCTGCTGATGGCTGTTAACTGTCAAGATAAAAGAGAAAGAAAGTTAAAGTGATCTCGAACCAGTTTAGCTCATTTCAGAGCTTATCTTCCACTGGTCGTGACAGAGAAGACAGGCGCTATGTACAGTATTTACAGGTTCATTGTGCCGGAGAAAATCCCCTAGCTCTTTTCGACAAGCACAATGAACAGTGGAACACGGCTTAACGTCCCGTCCTATGGACTGCGACCCTAAACCGTAGCGTGCATGTTGGGTGAGCGACATCAGCCGGGATTCGAACTCCCAACCTCTTAGTCCAGAGGCAAGATCGCTAACCACGCTACACTACAGGTACGCCCACCCTTTTCCTCAGTCACGGTGACGATAGTGTCAGAAGTGCAGCTCTAGTTAACCAGGCACGTGTACTGCTGACTTGTACTCTGTCCTCCCGGGAAAAACCGGAGCCTGCGGAGATCGATCCAGCGCGTTGATACGTCAGTGGATCTGTAGTTCTTTATTAGGTGCGACCGGTACAAATTACGTGTGATCTCCCCCGGGTCCGGATCGCGGTAAATCATTGATCTGAGATGGATCGCGCGACCCGGGGTCACATGGGCTGATCAAACTGCACTAGCCTGGTATCCAGTCTTACGAGATTGGGGGTATTGGGGTATTCGGGCAGGTTGTGCCTTCGGGGGCTCTAATAGCTTCCCCCGCCCAGTGCAACAGACCGTCCCGGTAGGAGAGTTATGCTAATAAGAGACAGTATGCTTGGGGATTTTGTCCGTGGAGGGCTAATCAATCTCTCGTGAAATACACACCGGAAAACCTATGTGAGGCGGACGGGCCAGAGCTCTTTCTGCCCCGACCACGAATCAGACTGGATACCAGGCTAAAACTGCACCCGCACGGCGTCAAGGTCTCATACAGCATCCGTGACTCGCCTTACGACTCGCCTGACTCTGCATAGTCACCGCATATGTCACAGGATATGGGTTTTATGGCGTTACCGATATGCAGGGAGGAACGTGTCATTCCGTAACGTATCTTCGTGTGCAAGTCACGTAAAGTCCTACCGTGAAAGGGGAACGTCAATTCCTTTAGTGTAGTGGCTGGTGAACTTTCGTCAAACGGAGGATTTCTGTTTCCATTCGGTTGTTCTTTTTATCATCTCGCGTTTATATATAACCAACCAACCAACCAACCAACCAACGAACCAACCGGTTGGTAGGTTGGGCTAGTCTGTCAGATTTAGACCACGCCTACCCTTCGATACGAACCACGCCCCATCACGCCCCATTGCTGCACAAGGTGTTGTCACGAATATTTTATAAAAAATTAAACATTTTTAATACATCCGGATGGTGCAGCAGAATAGTAGCTAACCATACCCAGCTTTTCTCTCGACCATGGCAGTGTTCGGGTAGCCATATTTGGCTACGTTTAAAGCATCGTCATCTTGCATTTGCTTTGTCATTGGTGACGTGTTTTTTACCAACCAATCTAGAGTAAAAATCGGCAGTTCAGCCACATGAAACTGCGTAACCTCAGTGAAACATTAGCATGTGTACGCTTTGTTTCGCCTTAGTTCGTTTCGCCTGAGGTGGTTGGTTGGCCTGATCAGCTGCCTTTTTATAATTCCTCACTGAGCTTCCCCCGAAGGTGGATTCGTCATAGATATGCATTACCCGCTACAAGGAGATACATATATCACCACGGGTTTAAACAAAAGGAACAGACAACCGTAAAAACAACTGAAAGGTATGATTAATAGGCATAGCCTATCCCTGTGCCGGTAACAAAGAGTAATGGCGCGTATTAGATGGAAACATATTTGTGTAACGAGCGCGAAACGCACTTTGCAGTATTGCTAAGTTAGCACATCGCCTTCTTCTAATTACACCCTTGCCACTATAAATTGATTAGTTGGTTCTTGGACTCAATTACTAGAGGAAAATTCAGTCTTACCAGAACTGGAAGCCCACCATTTTCTTATAATTGTCAAGTCTTCAGTGGTCTCCATTATTATTCATGATAATTAATGACAATCTTAGCAAACTGGCCTTACATTGAACTAAAGAAAACGACTGTTTGTCCATTTCTTTATTGTAATTTACATGTATCCGCCGCTTAACATGATTCCTGGCAGACATCACATTTATATACAAAACTACACCGTAATTTTGAGCCGCGTCAACTGTACAAATCATATCCTTCCAAACGTGTGGTCTGAATCCTTAACAAGAACACGACTGGCGAGAAATATTTCTTGTCACGATGGGGAACTAGTTTATGAAATCAGCCCCGGGGTCTAAAAGCGTAAAACTGGGAAATTAAAAGACGTTTTAATTGAAGCACTAAGGCTGTTGCTCTCGATAAAGTGTCCTGGGAACGTGTAGGCGTCAGACAGTCTCCTCTCGATCCCAGGATAGTTCCGTTAGAAACAGGTGCGAAGTGCCTGTGAGAGTAAAAACCATTGAAGCGCCGCGTCAGTCAACCGTTAGCGGGTTTAGAGTGTGCCATTCTTTCATTCACAAGTGTCGTTTGGCACCAAGTGGAGATGTCAGTGTTCAGTTAGATATTTCAGCAGGTCATCAGACAATGACGTAAGTGCGGCCAAATCCCTCCCATTGGACGGCGCCGAGTCAGAGAATGACGTCGGAGAGGCTAAGTGCTCCCATTGGACGGCGCTGAGTGAGACCATGACGTAAGAGAGATTAGATGCTCCCATTGGACGGCGCTGAATCTCGCACCTCTATCGTCTGGTGAACACCAGCAGATTTGATAGCGAGAACTGAACATGGAGAGAGACCAAAGAAAGTTAGAATCTCACATCGACACCATTTTCGTAGACAGGTCAATTTGGGAAATGTAACATGCAGATAGCACTTAGATAACGGCATGCAGATCCGATACTAATAGAAAATATATGTTCCTTCAATAATGGTCTCTATTTCCAGGTAGAATGACCCATCACGTGACTTAGGGAACACAGCGAACACGTAATTCAGAAAAACAGTACTTTATTCCCGTTGTTCAAGTCACGTGTCCAACGAGTAGTGGGTCATGCTACCTGAGGACGGCTAAGAACACAGTCGATCTCAAATTCAGTGTTTCCTACAATGCCCCCTTAGATGGACGCTCATGCAAGTACGACAGTTCTTAACAGAAATTGAATAACCTTCGCTGGAGGAGATGAATCTGACGTAGTTGGAGGGGAACAGGCCTATCCTGCCCCTCAGGTAACCCAAGCACCAGCCGCCATCTTCCCCCTCCAGCACCTCGATGACGTCATCCACCTCCAGGCGTAGCTCGTTCTCTTCCCGCGGTCGGTACGAGTACACCGCGCGGGCATAGCGCCTATCTGAGGGTGATGAGAGCGCAACTTAAGCCACTGTCACACATTCAGAACCGAACACCAGTCGATCAAGGTTGGCTGAGGTTTTGGAACAGTCTGACACCGCACGAGCATAGCCCCTGTCATACGTTTAGAACCTTCCGCCGACCAAGGTTGGCTGAAGTTCAGGAGAAGTCTGGGCAGACTTAGACAAAGCCTACCTTTCAGTGTGAATCGAATCGAGTTTGAGTGAAATTTGGATCAAGTTCTACCGCCAATCACGCCCAGAACTATTCCCGAGAAACCACCAGCTAACCGTGGTCGAATCTGCTTTCCACACCCGAATGTTTTAAACATTTTGAAACATTCGACTGGCGCAGCCGAATACTTTACTCCCGATTTACCATCCATGGTTAGGAGGAGTTCAGCACGTGCTCGGGAGGCCATATTCGGCTTTGTGTGACAGGTGCTTTAGTAATGGCTTCAACTGGAGAGCTATGAGAGCAGATAGTAAAAGACAAGAAGCCTGTGGCATCAGAGGCTGTATCTGGTATGGAAGCTTTGGGTGATTCCCACTGGCAGGGTAGCAGCAGCATCCATCTCAAAACCTTATCTCATCACATGAGAATCGTCAGGTCAGTACATTTCCCACGTCACATCACAACCATAAAAGGAAAGATGGCCTGAAATATTGAGAGGAAGAAGGATAGAGCGTGACTTCTGTTAAATAAGGAATGTCGCAACAACGGAGAACCATGATGGGGCTTAATTATATTTCGCTGTGTCAAGATAGCAAATCAACGATGTACACTAAAATGGAAAAGAAATTAGCTGGAAGCTAGAAAATCTGTTGAAATCCCAGAAGATTCAGACTTTGTCGTCTAGCAGTGATGAACCCTGATCGACCTTTTGACGGAGTAGTTTTGAAGTCCAATAACAGCCTCTTCCTAAGATATATAGTGTCGTCGTCGGCTTGAGTACTTTTTAAGCCCTGACTCCTCGCAAGTTTTGATCTCTCTCTGAGACAAAGAAGAATGATGCAGCTCTCGGGACGCAAAGATATCATAATGGACCCCTCGACTCTATAACTTAGAGTGAGATAATGCTCAGGAGGTGACTGGAATCGTAATTTACCAAAAGAAAATCTCCCAGGGCTCGAAACACCCACACATCACGCAATTCACAGAAACGTTTCTCAATTGCATGTAAAACATACCTCAGGCAATTTTAGGTTGACATTTTAGGCTTAGTAATACTAAGGGATGTAGGTAAGTAGGAACATTGAGATTCACCATTTAGTTTATTTGTACAAACCTATTTCTTTTCTTTGTGAAAGAATACAACACACTTATCGAGAGGACTTGGGGTGACCCGGTGTGCTTGGATCAATATGCGACCTACAGCGAAACCGCATTGCAACACTAGCTGACCAAAAAGGGCCGTGCTTTGTCCTCAATCTGAGGTCACCCAAGTAAGCATTACCCTTTCAAGTGTGCTTATCTAAAAAAAAGCTATAGGTGCGGTTGGGAAGTTTTTCCTGATAATATCTAACAACCTGTAGGTTGAAAGTAACAAAACATATCCTCACCATTAGCCATAAAATCAGGTACGTCTCAGAATTGTTGGGTGTTACCAATATATGTAGTTCAACTTCCATACATAAAAACAAGTTGCCATATATTGTACCTGCACCATTTGGCTCGAGCCCTGAGGGCCTTCTGTAGCTATATGGAGATGACGAAGAAGATAGAGTACAAGGAGAATCACCTTTTCTGCCTATTGACTTCCTGATGGTGTTGATTCCTCCGTAGTTCGGCGCCTTGTTCAGAGGTTTGTTGCCTGCAGGGCAGAACAAGACATGATTTACGACAGGTCATGATTTACGACACGACATGATTTGCGGTACAGCATGATTTACGGCACCCAAGAATCATAAGACTGGTGATTTATGGCTTAGGAATGACCCAGGCTCCGCATCGTAAGATTCTGCCAAGAATTGTTACAGAAACTTGGAATTGTGTGTTTTAACAATGCAGCTTATTAGATTAGTGTCGGAAGGTCAAACACACAGCACTACCAGCGGACTAGCCCCCTGTGGCTTGCACAACTGTGTGTCGCCCAAGGGCTACAGAAAGGGAGATGGGCGACACCCTACGCTCTGCATAAGGGCACGGGAGACATTTCTTTCTTTCTTATTAAATGTCAGGTTCTTGCGGATCAAAAAGACTTAACAGTAAGTTTTTGCGCGTATCAAAACTAAGGACTACTCATTCTACCCTCGTCCGAGGTCTAGCTCCCTGGCAGTTGCTATAACTTCTGTTTGCTTTGTATTCTACAGCACTGTTAGAATAATCTTCCGTCATTTTTGAGCGGCAGTACCAAATCCTTCTTGCGATTTTATCGCCGTCCTTGTCGTGTAGAAGGAACATATCGTGCGTGTCGGTACATCAAGGTCGCGGTACATCAAAGTGCCGAATGGTTTCCGGGAATGGCGTTTCCAGGAAAGTGTTTGGGTGGAGATTGTAAAGTTTTTTTTTCAGCTCTGTTATCTACGATGAAGTACAGAGTCATAACAATGGCACACTTTGCTGAATCCAGACTGAATTCTTTTTTTAATCTTTGTTCCAACATTTCATGACTAGACATGGTGACAGCACACTCAAGTTGTATCAACTTTTTTAATGCCATCACCAACGCAGAGGACCAATACGAGACAGAACAATACTCATTTTCACTTGAGTAAAGTGAGGAAAGTCGTGTTAAGTGCCTTTCCCAAGGGCAAAAGATTGGTGGCATGTCAGGACTCGAACCCGGTACCTCTTGGTTCCGGGTCGAGCACGCTGCCGTTACGCCACACAACCTCACAATCCATACTTAAATTAAAGCAAATGTCACAGAGACTTGGTATTACAATGGTAGTAGATAATTTCAAATCCGGTAATTTCGGACTTAATGATGGTAGTAAACGAGGTTACCGGACTTTACAAAGAAAACGTTACCCAACTTTACTGGCATTTACTACCATTAGTAAATCCAACGTTTCGTGCAATGTATGTTTATGAACTTATACTGACACCGTGCCAAGACTTAAAGTAGTTCATTTGAAAACATTTGAACCGGACACTTTAATATTATATACTTCTACCCATGTGGATTTTCACTAATGATGATTGTACAAGGATGTTTCATCTATTACGATGTCTACCAGCCCATAGGTTAGATGCCCCTCCCCAGTATTGATAGCCTACACCGTGCCAAGACTTTAAGTAGTCCATTTGAAAACATTTTGAACCGAACACTTTAACACTATTTACTATTACTATTTCCCTGGTGGATTTTCTCTAATGATGATTGTGCAAGAATGTTTCATCTATTATGATGTAGTCCAAACCCCGGGTCAGACCCCCCTCCCCACTCGTGATAGTCTACATGGTAAAACAAATGATAGTTCAGGTTGTTCGTTTAAAACTTTGGACCGGATACTTTAACACTATATACTACTTCCCAGGAGGATTTTCACTAATGATAATTGTGCAGTACTAGTGATAGTTGACGGCACCAGCGCACTCTAACATGCCAGAGCCATCATTACCATGATGTTGGGCATTAAGGAGAAGAAGAAGAAGAAGAAATAAGAATGTCTCATATATTACGATGTCTACCAACCCCCGGGTCAGAACCCCCTCCCCACTCGTGATAGCCTACATGGTATAACAAATGATAGTTCAGATTGTTAAGAGTGGTGTGGAAGTGAAACACACTTTGGACTGGATAGTTTAACACTATATACTAAATTTCCGGGTGGATTTTCTCTAATGATGATTGTGCAAGAATGTTTCATCTATTATGATGTAGTCCAAACCCCGGGTCAGATCCCCCTCCCCACTCGTGATAGTCTACATGGTAAAACAAATGATAGTTCAGGTTGTTCGTTTAAAACTTTGGACCGGATACTTTAACACTATATACTACTTCCCAGGAGGATTTTCACTAATGATAATTGTGCAGTACTAGTGATAGTTGACGGCGCCAGCGCACTCTAACATGCCAGAGCCATCATTACCATGATGTTGGGCATTAAGGAGAAGAAGAAGAAGAAGAAGCAAGAATGTCTCATATATTACGATGTGTACCAACCCCCCGGGTCAGATCCCCCTCCCCAGTCGTGATAGCCTACATGGTAAAACGAATGATAGTTCAGGTTGTTTGGAGTGATGTGGAAGTAAAAGACCGTCAGTTGAACACTTTGGACCGGATAATTAACACTATACACTACTTCCCAGGAGGATTTTCACTAATGATAATTGTGCAGTGATAGTTGACGGCGCCAGCGCACTCTAACATGCCAGAGCCATCATAACCATGATGTTGGGCATTAAGGAGAAGAAGAAGAAGCAAGAATGTCTCAACTATTACGATGTGTACCAACCCCCCGGGTCAGATCCCCCTCCCAAGTCGTGATAGCTTACATGGTAAAATGAATGATAGTTCAGGTTGTTTAGAATGATGTGGAAGTAAAAGACCGTCAGTTGTTAATCCCGGTTCAGTAGTTTTTATCGCAGCAATCACAGTAAAGCTGCCCCCGTGACAGGCGCTGTACGGAGAGAAAACTTCCCGTCGCATTACACCCACATAAACATTTTACGGACGTCTTTGTTGAGAGCTCTGAAACTACCATCAATGTAAGTTTGTAGACTCTTTTAATGGAGGAAGTTACGAGAGTCGGACGCTACTGTGCTTACAAATTGTCTTGGGGATTGACGACGACCGCCTTTCGTAGCATCCTGGGTTTGAACAGCGAGGCTTTAAATTTAAACTATCGGATGGGCGGAAACACTAGGGAATGAAGCGGTTGTGTTCAGGTCGTAACTCAGCTGAACTAAAGTACGGTCGTATAACCAACTCAAGTGCAGCCATGGGTCTGTAGGCTGTCCTGTATGCCCATGTATGTACACCAGACCTGCATGTGGCGGGTTCTTTAACCCTATCTAGACCGTTTTTTTGGGGGGGGGGGCTTCGTGGGACGTCTTCGCTNACCCCCCCCCCCTCTGAACTCATTAACGGTATATCGTATGGCCACCAAGTCACCAAGTTTGGTGGTTCTAGCGTGAGCCGTTCGGACGCTATCCGACATCAAAGATGGCGCGGGCACCCCCCCCCTCCCGGTCTAGTAGTAGTAGTAGTAAGCCTTTATTTAGATAGGGTTAAAGTGCCTGTTTGGGGCTACCTAAGCATAATTCATACGGTTAAAGTAATCCAAATTATATATTCATACGAAAAGACAATCATACAGCCCTCTTTGCCAAAGTATGACCACATTTAACAAAGAATGTACCTAGGAGTAGATGCCCACACGGGTATGCGGTGTCCCAAAGCCTATCAGTTCCAAGTTCACGAGCTTAACCTTTTAAAATAGCCATGGGATTGCTTGTTTTGGGTTGCTGAATGTTTGTTGGGCCGACAAATTGAAGAAGAAAAAATAAACCATCAAACCTGTGCGAGTGACCACCTCGAGCTCTGTACAAGGACAACCTGACAACACTACCGAAAATATACGACTATGGAGTTTTCTTTTACACAAGCAGTGAAACTCTCACCTGCAAAACTGTACAATACACGGTGGGGGACGCAATAAACAGAGAGGACAACAGACGATTCCGGTGGGTCAAAGGGGGCTGTACACATGTTTGGATAAGAAAGTCAACCCCAGTGATGAACTGGGGTTGACTTTCTGAGACTTAGCCACGTTTGGGTTCTCGCTGCAAAATCGCCACCTACATCGGCTACATGTAGCGACTAGAAACAGTACTACGTACGTACGTATACTATTAGAACCTCTGAGGAAGATGTCTGACAGGCATCGAAACGTTGCCGGTGTGTTAAAGAAAACTATCCAGGATTGACTCTTGTCTGAACCTACCTAGTCTCCACCAGACTCTTTTGCAGGATGAACAAATAGTATAAATCGGCCTAAAAAGAAGGTTGCCCTCTATGGCCAGCCACCCCCCCCCCTGGCAAACGTTCTTTTTAGGCCGATTTCTACTATTTATTCAGCCTGCAAAAGAGTCTGGTGGAGACTAGCACCTACCCTGCATGGCCGTGTACGGCGGCGGTTCCTTGTCCTCCCCCACCTCTCCCCTCTCGGCCGGCTCCCGCCTGCCCATGTTGTAATAGAAGGCAAATTTCTTCTTCTCGTCCTGGAGACGCCGTCGCTTGACCAGGTACGCGGCTAGGGCCACGCAGACGATGAACCAGAGCCCCCCGGCCGATGCTCCGACCACCACCGCCACCGTGGAGCTCGCCACGCCCATCCTGGACTCTGGAGAGAAGGTGCGGTAAATAATAAGGGTGGAAAGTTGATGACGTTTTCATTTCAGGTAACGAGATGCACATGGAAATTGTTACCCAAGTAACTGGATAGATTTTGAAATCTGTCAGACGTGTCGAGTAGCATCCACTACTTTTTTGTCAATTTTTGTCAGTGACGAGTCGACTGGGGTGGAAAAGGACAATGTGCAGCTGTGACTCATTGAACCAAATCATTACGTGTCCAGTCTTAGGACACCCTTGTGCCCGATGGGTGTCACTCCATCGTACAATGAAGAAAGTCGTGTTAAGTGCCTTCCCCAAGGGCACAGCATCGGCAATGTCAGGGGATTGAAACCCCAAGCTTATGACTCTGCCAAATGCCACCGTATTAGATAAATATTAACTTTATTGTATCCGAGTTTTCAGATACAGTATTCTACAGGTAGGTCGCAGGCTGAGTGTGTTTTTCAATTCCTACGTGTACGCTGTCAGGCTCAAACTTTAGATGCCTAGAATCAGCTTAAATGGATCATGATCAGGTCAGATTTGCATATATTCGAGATTTGACCTTTCTTATGAACACTGCGGGAAAGGATGTGAGTTGTTTGCCTACATGAAAGTTGATAAATGTCAATTTTTAGAACTAGAAGCCAAGAACATGACATAGTTCTTACCTCTGATGTTGAGCACGAGAGAGCTGGAGGCTGCCCTCCCGACGCCGTTGTTCGCCTGACAGACATACTTCCCGCTGTCGTTCACCCTCACGTTACTCAGCTTCACGGTCGAAGTGCGCATGTCACTGGTGACGGAGTGGACGGCACTGCGCAGGCGCGTCCCGTCACGTGACCAGGTGATGTTGGGAGGGGGGTTCCCGTCTGCGACGCACTGTACGGATATGCTGTCTGCCACCGTTGCGGTCAAGGAGTCCGAAATACTCAGGATAGACGCCGGATCTGGTTTGGAAAAAATAAGATGAAAAAAATCGAGAGAATAATGTTGTGAGGGGACGTTACTGGCCAGTTTACTACACGTTTTGCGAAGATGCTGGCTGCTAAAGCAGCATGAGTGGTGGAGTCAGACTGTCAGAGACACGTTAGCCTGGTTACCAAACCTATCATAGCTCCCCCTATAATAGGCTTGGTAACCAGGCTAAGGATACATAGGATACATGTAGATGGCGAATCTATGTAAATATCACGTGGATATCATGTGTTGTTGTGAGATGGGGTTTTGTTTTTCTGCTTCTCGCTGTCTAGATATTCTGGCTGCCACAGTAGCTCGGGTGGAGACAGGTGTACGCAGAATCGATGGCGGACCTGTGTGAAAAATCATGTGAGCATCACGTGAACATCACGTGAATATCATGTGATACTGGGAGAAGAGTTTCCATAGGCCTCTGCTGGGTGCTGTTTGGAGATGCTGGCCGCTACAGTAGCATGGGTGGAGTCAGAGCTACTCATCAGGATCAATGGCGGGTCTGTGTGATAAAGATCATGTGATCATCACGTGAACATCACGTGAATATCATGTGAGATCGGAGGGAACTCTGCTACACCCTGTAAGAGTCTGTATAGAGATGCTGCCCTCAACAGTAGTAGGGTGGAGTCAGCGCTAGTATCCAGGATCGATGGAAGGTCTGTGTGAAAAATCACACCCACAATTAATCTGACACGCGTCCGCGTCGGGACCAGGAAATCCAGAACAGAGGTACTGTGTTCATCGACAGATACCCCAATTAAGTCGTGTTCGCTTTGTGTAAGGCCCTCCCGGGAACGTTAAGACCTATTACAGTGCTTTCCTGGCTATCGATATAATACCTGGGCAGGCGATGTCATGGCCCAGTATCGGGCTCGGGTGGCAAACAGTGCCTTGTTAGTCGTATTGATCCAGTCAGGCGGAGTCGGTCACGAACTCTCACAAACTGGTATCGGACAGCTGTTAGGAGTCTAAGGTGCACAGTAAGTCAACCCTTTAACAACGGCTATAATTCACTCCAACGAGTCCTGTCGGAGATCATATATTTTAAACTCTTAACGTCAGCTGAATTCCTAATCTCACATCGAACTGACAGATGCTGTATAATTAATTTAAGACTTTTCTCCTTGGTAGAGGACAGACTTAACACATTTGTAAAGGATATTCAATACACAGTTAAGAGTATAAATGTAAATATTTCTACATCTTACGTACAAGTGAGTCAAGCTAATTATAAAGGAAGTTACGATGATACGTCGGTAAAGGTTAGACATCCAGGTAATAAGATACGCCAAAAAACAGTTACTCAAGCAACTGGATATGATTTTGAAAACGGCCAGACATTTCAGGTAGTATTCATTAGCTTTCGTCAGTGACACTAGAGACTTGCAGGAGAAAGACAGGTTTATAAGCACGAGCTATTGATTGATATACAAATGAGTCAAGACAAATTTTTTGGAACTCTAAAAGGGAATCATATCCGGTTGCTTGAGTAACTATTTTCTTGCAGAACTTACAATAAACTTTGACTTGCAGCGAGGCCCTCACGGTCTTGACCACGTGATCGGCGACGCATGCGTACACGCCGGCGTCGCTCTTGCCCACGTGGCGGATGTGAAGGGCGGGAACCGCGGCGTTCCCGTGGGAATATTTCGCGGGCTGTCTCCTGGGGTCAATGACCTCCCCGTCCTTTTCCCAGTGCAGTGACGTGATGTTGGGTTTGGCGCCCTGCACTGCGCATGTCAGGGATGTTGACCTCCCTCTGGTGATGACGTATGGATTGGACGGGCCCACTCGAACTGTAGGGGGAGCTGAGAAAGATATGGTCAGTTAAATATGCAGGCTTTTCGCATTCCGTCATTTGCGTTAAGTTGAATTACAGTGCATGCATGTCTATCTAATACGCCAATATGCTGTCGCTGTAAATGAAATCCATTTATCCGCCTACACAATTGCACAGTATGCAGTTATAATTACTACATGACGTCAATGAAAAGCGTTTAGAAGACCTAACATTCATTTAAATTCACAGTGCAGATCATAGAGTACTTAGTGCAGACTTGTAATGGAATTTTAGGGCACTTTCTATCTGTCAAAACCAGTCTAGATGGAATTGAACATATTGTGCATTCCTGGTTCGATTCAAATTCTTCACTTAACCGCATCTTCTTCCATTTACTTCCGAACAGTCCAAGGGACTCGTAACTTTACGTGTCAGTATATGGCAATTAGCCTGAACAAACCAAGGTTCTTAAACCTTCATAAGTTTAGTATTCAAAGCGAGAAGACCTAGCCAGGTATTATATATAAAAGTGAGTACATGTTCAATGTACAAACCAGGCAAGCGCCAGACACGACACCCCAACGACGCCGATATCAAGGGACAGGCAGGTAATAGAGTTCAGGAACGATAATCTGCCCGAGGTCTTCGCACCACAAGTTCAGTGTTCAGAGCGAGAAGGCCTAGTCAGAAGACGTAAGTACATGTCCAATGTGCACACTAGTCTAAACGCCGACCCAACCCATTAAGGGACAGGCGAGCAGTGAAGTTCAGTACTTATAATCTGCCCAAATGACCCGAGGTCTTTAGACCATTAAGAGTTTGCTGCACAACCAGAGAAGACCACGAAAGGTACTGTAACTACATGTTCAATGTACAAACCAGCGGAGCTCCCCAAAAGACACTCTGACCCAATATCAAGGGACTGGCAGGCAATGGAGTTCAGTACTGATAATCTACCCGGCAACTGACCCGAGGTCTTTTAAACCACTAAGAGTTTGCTGTAAAACCAGAGAAGACCTAGAAAGGTAATGTGAGTACGTGTTCAATGTGCAAACCGGCCAAGCGCCCGAATAGACACCCCAACCCACCACCAAATAGTGAAGTTCAGTACTGATAATCTACCCGGCAAGTAACCCGCGGTTTTAAACCACCACACGTTTGCTGCACAAACGGAGAAGACCTAGCCAGTGTTTAATGTGCAAACCGGCCGAGCACCTGAATAGACACCCCAACCCACCACCAATGAGTGAACTTCAATACCGATAATCTCCCCAAATAACCCGCGGTTTTAAACCACCACACGTTCAATCCTCAGGTCTTTCCCCACCATTACCGCCTGCCACGACCCCGGGCTGGGATTTGACCACCGGCCGTAATCCCGCTTTTATCGAGGTGCAAAGTAATCGGCCGATAATCGGCCCGTAAATCCGGCGCCCGGGGAGTGGATTTAGCGGCAATCTTGATCGCCAGGTCAGGAGGTTAAAGCGCCTAGTTCGGAGCTGTCAGCGGTCGGTACGTCTGAGGGCACATCACAGCTTTCATCCGTGGCAGGTTTACGACATTTCGACGCTTTGCGGTCGAACGCTGGCACGTCGACGCTGTTACTGCTGACAGGTTTACGACACTTGGACGGTCTGCGGGCGAACGATCTGACCACAAGTAATGACGAATGGTTTTAAGCGGTTATGGATCTGGTTGTAATCGCTTGTGGGTAGACCCCGTAAAGATGCTGAAGTTCTTTTTTCATAAACTTGAACTCTTTTATGGTTTATCGGACATAGAGAACTCGATCCTCTCTTATCTACCATGAAAAAGATCATTTGTTATGATGTAAAAACACAGCCAGGGCCGTTTAAAAGAAATCAATCTTAGAAGTAAACCCAGCTATCATTGGTGCTTCGCCTAGGGACTCACAACTGAACCATTCCTTCGCATACAAACGTAACATATTTTTGGGAGATTTTAACATCAATAGACTGCTGGCAGTTGTACCTTAGGAGGCTTGCTATGAATAAGGTACTGCAATGGAATCAAGGACTTATTTCACCTGTGGGATGTTTCAGCTGAAAATAGAACAAGAGAGACCTGGAGAGACATATTTACTGCGTATACGGCCCCCATGCGGCAGCTACTGATGCACGCGAATGATTGATTGTTTCTGCAACTGTATCTGTAGAACATCCAGCATAAACACCCAGTTTTACTCACGTAACATTGCGTACACATGCATGAACCTAGCATGAAAGTTTATCTGAACAGAGACGGGGGGCGACACAAGTTATCTGGCACGTATGACCCGCTACTACGGTCATGTGTCTCTGACGTCACGTTCTGATTCATTCCAGTGTTGGAAGGAAAGTTTAATCTTTATTTCATAATCCCTTTTCCTTATCTATTCATGACCTGTACTTAGCTTGTTAGAGCACAAACGTACAATAAAGGTCTTTCATTCATTCATTTATTCATTCATTCATTCATTCATTCATTCAATCTTTATTTCAAAATGCATGAACCTTACCCATGAGAACTAGTTGGACCTGCCCCTCGCTGCTGCCGACTCCCTCCACGGACACAGACAGGATGTACTTCCCCTCGTCTGCCGGTTTGGTGCGGGCGATCCTGAGGGACGCCTGGTCCTCTAGAGAAGTCCTGCCGACGTAATCTCCGTACGACTCCCTGGTCTGGAGAGGAGGGTAGTAGGAGAAGATCTGCGTGCGGGAAGTCGGTTCTCTGGGGTCCAGTTTGTACCAGGCGATGTTCATGACCCTCCTGTCGGTGCTGAAGGTGGCGGGGAGGGTCACGGGGTCTCCCGAGATGGCGTCCATTTTCTCAGGCAGCTTCAGGTGGATACTCTGGCAGCTCACACCTGTAGGGAAACCAAGAAGAGCTTGGTTAGTTTACTTTATCTGGCCACCTCTACCTATTTGGGGTGTCGCGGGGAAGTGGAGAAGGTGGTTACGTTCTGGGCCAGTCGAGTTGCTTGCTGAGGTGCCAGGCCATGGGCGCTCAGTGTCTCCGTCACCCTGTCTATCCAGTGGCTGCGAGGTCTCCATCTGGCCCTCCTGCCTGATTCTTTGAATGTTAGAGCTTAGTTACCCTACCTAACCTAACGGAAACCGATCAGTTAACCATACCCTAACGAGCTTAAACCAGCACCGTTCGGCAAGCAGCAAGTACACAGCAAACCAAAGATAGATTAGAGAGATCGCAGCCATTGAAAAGCAGTACAGACTGATATCATCGAGATGTGGATGAACAGAATCGGGCTAAATGCATCATATCGAGATGAAAGTAAGGCTGCTTACAGTAAAATGGGAATTGAAATTAAAGCCAGAACTTGAACTACCACCTGCATATGCAGGTTAGTGCAGATAGAATTGGATCTGTGCAGCTAGGTATTTCTAATGTCTACTTTCAATGACGGCAGCAAACGCAAACTGCATCGTTCTTGAAGTGAGATGCTTAAAGAACTAGGTTCTGTGTTATCTCGTCCTGGAAACCATTTGTTTGAAGGAATCCCGTGGAAATATTCACTGCACTAAATCCAGCCTTTCTGTATCTGTATCTGTATCTGTATCAGTATAGCCGGTATCGCAACACACCAGCTTGAAAGTCACACACACACAACTTTCAAAGCGTGTGCCAGAGTTTCGTAGCTTAGCGCTTAAAGAATTTCGTGCAGTGATATTCTTCATTTGCCTCTGCGTGTACAAGTAATGAGAAGCAGCATACGGTAAAATGTCTGGCCTTGGAATCATTCAACACTTGCCACGCTACAATTTGGAGAGGCCTTTCTGAAGTGCACTTCGTTAAATACCTGTCATTTCAAATCATAACCGAATGTGGGTGTACAGAAATCTCATCACAATTTGAACATATGGACACCTTTATTGCTGCCGTAACGTCTATCGCCGTAGGGATACTTCCCCGTGAATATACGTTAGAAATTGCAAATCAGCGCCAACATATGAGGCAATGACAGTGATCTTTATTGCATCTCCATGCCCAGAAGGGCGAAATGCAGCATGTTATAAAATGAATAAATAATGATACGTACATTTGATCTTCTGGTAGGCCGTGCAATCACGTTATTAACTTATGTAAAGTTTTACAATTTTCCACCCTAATCCTACACCTCCGCTTTCTCCCTGAGATGCGCCCGGGCTGACATGTGATGATTAAACACAGTACGGAGACTTGACCCGGGCTACTCAGCTCGGCGCTGGTACAATTGGGGGTCAGGTGGACTCAGGATTCCCATTAGCGCGAGTTGTCGGTAATTCCCCGGGCCACCAGATGAGGTTTCCCCCGCTATTGTGTAGCTTAACCTTCACCCAGCCGTAGCTGGAGAGATGATTATGACCGGCCAACCGTAGGGTGAAAAGCAAGCTACGCGAAAAAAAATTATCGATTCACTTACGGAGGGAGTCTAGGCTGAGAGAGGGGATTACGCTGTCATCACGCCGGGCGGGGTAGAGCGCTGCGTCGACAAAAGGACAGACGTTTCGCGAGAAAAACTTTTAGACTTGGTTAGACTGTTCGTAAGATACGCGAGTGGATGACGGTTAGCGGTTAGACATTCGGGTAAAGCGATACACAAGGAAATTGTTACTAAAGCAACCCAAACTATATAGTAGAGGGGATTCATTCCTCAAGCTAACCGACATCTTGCACACACAGTCGTCCATCAGGCTGAATTACATTTCTAAACGGGAACTATGCGGCTCCAGGTGTCTTACTGAGGGACGACTGCGTGTGCAAGATGTCGGTTAGAAACCCTCTACTATATAAAACAACCCAAACTGTTATTCTGGCAACTCAAAACCTACCAGTTTCTTGAGTAACAATGTCCTTATATTCGTAATATAGTTATAAACGCATCCTTGTCGTGGCAATTACGGCACAACACAAGGAGACAGTTGTCAGTTCATGATGACGACATCAGAGCAGCTTTCGAAAGGTGGGCATAGAAAATTAAAATTCGTGTACCAAAGAAGAGGTAATATGATGTTGCTTGTGATTTTTTTTTCCTTTTGTAGTTTCTGAGGGCCATCATAACCACCTACCGTCAGACTAGTGGTAATTAGTTATAACGTCCCTACCGCTAGCACACGTCGCTTGAGGATAATATGCAATTTCGCGAGCTAATATCCACTGTCTTGTTGCGTTTAGCAAAAGGCAAGCTAGCAATCCTAGCTGCATAGTTTTGCTGTTAAATAAAGGCCCATCGACCTTTCAGCTGTCCTTCAGCGTGAAACCGGGTCGGTTCCAGGTCGGCTCCTGGCCAGACGCTAACCCGTAATCTCGCGGTGGTCTCGGCTTGAAAAGAACGTTTCGGCTGAGCAGGAAACGTGGGAGAAGTCTGCCCAAAGGTCACGCGCGAGCTGATGGAAGCTGACGGACTTCATTATCTAAAGGTCGGGGGATGATAATTTCTGCTGATGTGGAATTATGTTTCCCCGACTCGGAGTGAATTACAGCTCAGGTGGCCCTGCAGGAATTGGATATATCACAATGAAGCAGCCAATTGTTTATCAACACACCAGACACGCCACATATATCAAATAGAAGGGCTGGTGGTTGGGAGTATGTCAGCATTGGTCGGGGCATGGTTGGCAGTCAAATTTGACTCAAATATAACTCAAATTTGCTTCGTATAGGAAGGTGGGCCGAATCTGGTCAGACTGTTCACGAGCTTCAGCTAACCTTGGTCGGCTGGTGTTTTAGGGGAGGTTCTGAATGTGTGACAGAGGTTTAAACGATTGGTTATTTGCATCTGATGACGGAATTATGTCTCCCCGACTCGGAGTGAATTACAGCTCAGGTGGCCCTGTAGGAATTGGATATATCACAATGAAGCAGCCAATTGTTTATCAACACACCTGACACGCCACATATATCAAATAGAAAGGCTGTATGTGTATGGAAGAAATAAAATGCCCACTGGTGCTGTTTCAATGCTATGGTCTGTAAATCGTAGCAGAAGTATTGTGTTTCCAGTAAAAGTGGCTCATGCGTGTCTCTGCCCTTTCTCAACGCTGCCCAACGGAAGTAGGTCAAGTGCCGGCGCGCACGCAGCAAAATTTGTGATTACGTTTGATATCACACACGCCAGGCTGGGGAAGTGGACTCCCCATTCATCATCTTCAACTAAGGAAGTACCTGATGCCGTGCGGAATAACTATTAAGACTCCCCATGTGTCGCATGTACAGTTTGCGCCTTGTATATTACAACACTAAGCCGAACATAGCACACAACAGCCAGCACTCAATATGGTTGTAAACTTCCCGGCACTTTTAACCAATCGGTTATGCCGCGTGTCGGTACAGTGACACGTCCTAAAGTCCATGTCATGCATAGCCTAAAATGGCCTCCCTAACACGAGCCGAACCACCCCAAAACATGGTTAGGAGTAAGCAAATTGGGAGGAAAGTCGACTGGATCGGCTGGTGTTCGGCCACGTCGGCTATTGTTCGGCAGATTGGGACATGGTTGGGTACTGGTTGGCTGGTGGTCCGGAAAACATCAGCATTAGTCAGGGCATGGTTGGCAGCCAAATTTGACTCAAATTAGTACAGAAAGGCTGCCCGAATCTGGTCAGACTGTTCATGAACTTCACCCAAGAGGCTTTTAAAGCGATAGGTTAGTTGCATCTGATGACGGCTGTAAACAAAGATTCAGAGACTTGATTAATGTGTTAGAATACAGTTCAGCTGTTTGCAATACTTTTTTCCCTCCAACCAACATCAATACGATACAAAACTGGGTCACCTGTCGGCACTGATTCAGCACACTGCTCACAGTGTGTTTAAAATCAATGCTCCTGCGGTGAAACTTCTGATTAAAAAAAGTGTAATAAAGTTTTGTGGTCGATGACGAGTCAGGCCCATATATCTTTTTCTTAATTAGAACACCTCGTTTTGTAATCTTTAGAATGGGAATCTGTCATATTTGTGGACCCAGAAAGTACATCATTGTGCTACAGTATTTGTTGGTATTCATAGGTATACGACTTCGCCATTTGCAAAGTATAGTCGGGAACTGATTTGGTTATTCGGCATTCAGATTTGGTTAGCTGGTTTTGGATGTGGTTAACTGATATTCGGATTTGGTTAGTTGGTATTCGGATTTGGTTAGCTGGTATTCGGATTTGGTTAGCTAGTATTCGGATTTGGTTAGCTGGTTTTTGGATGTGGTGAGCTGATAATTTGGTTTGGTTAGTTGGTAGTCGGATTTGGTTAGCTGCTATTAAGATGTGGTTAGCTGGATTTCGGATGTGGTTATCTGGTATTCAGATTTGGTTAGTTGGTATTCGGATTTGGTTAGTTGGTATTCGGATTTGGTTAGCTGGTTTTGGATGTGGTTAACTGATATTTGGGTTTGGTTAGTTGGTATTCGGATTTGGTTAGCTGACATATAGGATTGGTTAGCTAGTATTCGGATTTGGTTAGTTGGTATTCGGATTTGGTTGGCCGGTATTCGGATTTGGTTAGCTGCTATCAGATGTTGTTAGCTGGTACATGTATTCGGCGTAACACACCAGCTTCCCATACACACACCAAATGACCTGTTACACCACAACCATATATATTGAACTCTAACTGCCATTTGAAGCTATCTAGTGAAGACGCCCCTACCGTATTTCATCCCGTACAGTATCTGAAGTTTACTTCCATTCCGAACGAAACTTGAGATACTCCATGCACCATTCCTCTTCATTTCAAACAGACCCATTTCCTTATTTCCTTTCATTTCACAATATCCACTCCAACCGTTTGATAAATGCTGCCGCCCGAACTTCTCAATAAAGTGCAACTTTTATCGATTAAAAAAACGTATAAAGACCTGGAGCCG